TCTCCCGTTTAAACTTAGAGAAAGAAAAAGTTAAACTTAGACGTTTAGAGGTAAGCAATAAAGATACCCAAAGTTCAGTAGAAAACAGTAAACAAACGGTTAAAGAACTAGAGGTAGAGTCTAAAAAGAGAAAATTAAATGAAATAACAGTCTGTTCAGCCGAAAAAGATAGAAGTTTAGAGACAATGAAAAGAGCTATAGAATTGGAATTGAACAGTCAAAGGTTGCATATTAGAAGAGAATATAAGCTGACGCAAAAATCCAATTTTGATCTTTGGATGGATTATTTAAAATCTGAGTTAATGAATAACGAGTTGTTAGATGTAATAGATTCAAACATTAAAAGTCCAGAAAATCTCTCAGAACTAAAAGTTGCTAAGAGAAAAAGTCTAGTTAGAGATATAATAATCAATCATTTAGATGAAAACTATCATAAAAGGATTCTACATGAAAAAGATCCGAAAGAAATTTTGAAGAAATTGAGAGGATATAAAAAGAGTGAAGTAAACGTTACTCATGCATCGGTACGAGCTAAACTCTATCAAATTAAAATGAGAAAAGACGAAAAAGTAAGTGATTTTTGTGAACGCTTCGATTCAATAATTAGAGAATATGAATCATGTGAAGATGCGGTACCCCTCGCAGAACAAGAGATTAGATCTGCACTTTATCAGGCTGTGTCAATTAATGTACCAGAGCTGAGAAATGTAGATTTAATTAGAAGACAAACTAATCTTAAAGAAATGAACATAGATGAAATAAAGTCTTTTATGATGCAGTTAGAAGCAGAGACTAAAAACGAGAATAAAGAAAAATTAGAGAAACCCGAAGTCAGGGTACAGAGGGCTGCTGCAGAAGAGAACATGAAACAAGTGAAATGCTACAGATGCAACCGAATGGGTCATATGGCAAAGGACTGTCCACTAATAGAATTTGGTGCCTGGTTTTGTTACTACTGCCAGGAAGTACGAGGTCACAAGGGTGATAATTGTCCGAGTGCCGAAGCCCAGGCGAACAGAGCTAGAGGAAAAAGGTATTTAAATAAAACCGTTAATAAAAACATAAAGAAAAAGGGTAGATTTGTGCAAAAAGGCACAAAAAGAGTAGATAACAAAGGGAAAATAACCAAGATACAACCAGCTGAGAAACCTATATCAACGAAAACAGCAAATGAAGGAGAATCAGAAGAAGGTAAATAATACATGGTTAAATTAATAGAAGATAGAGATAGTTCAAAAGAGGTAGTCAATTTTACTGCAGATTCGGGTGCTACGGATCATATTGTGAATAAGAATTTTATTCTGTCAAAGTTTGAAAAATGTAAAGATAGAGTTATTAAATGCGGGAATAAAAATGAGCTTGCAAACATTTCAATAGATGGTAAAGGAGATCTTACGCTAATAACGAATGAAAAAGAAAAGAGAGTCATTAAATTAACAAATGTAATTGCAGCAAAGAAAGTATCCAAAAATTTACTATATCTAAGAAAGTTGGCTGATGCAGGGTTCAGTATTTATTTAGATGATAAAATGTTTAAAGTTTACAATAAACTGGCAAATAAAATAGTTTTTTTTTAAAGGAATTTACAGATGTAGAGCAGAAATTGTTCCACATAGTGAGCTTCCTGAACAATCGCAAGCAAACATTCAGACCAATGAATTATCAATTTCGGAGGGAGAGTTAGAGGAGAGGGATAATGTTGGCTCTGCGATTGGGAGGGAGAATGAAGGAGAGCTCACAAATGTGAACGAAAATGAAAATATAGAACACAATAATGCTGAACTCGATCAAGTCATTAAGTTAGAAGATATACAGACAATAGAGAATATAGAAGAAATGTGTGAAAGCTCAGTAATTGAAAAAGTAAAGAAACTAGAGAAAATAAATGAGGTGATGTTATGGCATGTTAGATTAGGTCATGCATCGTTAAACTATCTAAAACAATTACAAAAAGTAGAAAAGAGATTAGAAAATGTAAAGTTTGATAACTTTATATTAGAGTGTGAAGTATGTATAATGGCAAAGATGGCAAAACTGCCGTTTAAAGAAAACAGAAATA